GAAGACGCTGATTCTCCTCTATACTTTCACAAGATTATAAAAATGCAGAGTAAGGAGATGGCATCCCTTGTCCTTCTGCAAGACTAGAGTACCAGTACATTCTTTCCCAGCTAATTCCATGCACTGCTTGGATTTCTAGCAAGAGGCACAGGCTGCAGACAAACCATCTGGCTTTGAACCCAGCAACTGCCAAGTGATAAGCCAACAAAATGGCAGCTGGTGCCAATTAGAGAAAGAGATCTGACTAATACTATTGGCTGAGCTGGCAAATACTTCCCTGGATGACTAAATGGTGGCTGTTTTCAGCACTGCATTCCATTTGGCCACTTCAGACGGCATCATCTAATTACACCAATGGCTTCTAAAGTAAGTTATTCACATGATGTAGGAATGGCGAAGTCCAATAAAAATATTGTTACCTTTATTTATTGGGTCACCAAACTTGTTATCAAGGCAACTCGGGCTTTGGCTGAGCCAGCATTTGCCAATCAGTGATCAAGTACTTATTATGAGTAACTGGAAGTACTTTAGGATATTTAAGGTCAAGCCAGTAGTAACATATTCTGGAGTCTTCTCTTTTCCTCCATGAGCTGAAAGGAATTTCTCAGCACTCATGGAGTTTGTGGAAGTATGAAGCACCCAAGACTTTTAAATCAGTCTTACAGATGTTTATAAATTAGTATGGAACTAGAATATTTATAGAGTTGACAGAATGAGTATTTTCCAAAAACACTGTAACAGTTAAAGGATAGAAAAAAGTAATAGAAAATTAACATAACATCTAAAATTTCTTTCTCTGCCTATCTACTCCAGAGTTAGAAATAAGTCGATTTCTACCACACTCTCTAAGATGAGAAATAACTAGACATGAAGATCTAACCTTATTTAAAAGTCAGTATAAATAGTACAGGGTTATAACCACACAAGTATCTCTAATATTTCAAACCATGCACAGCCAAACAATGAAGACTCATTCCCTGGAAAACTACAACATTTTTCCCATGAGAAGCTAGATTATGTCAAGCTTACCTAGAAATTGAAGATTCCAAAAATTCACTGAGTTAAGGGACTGATCAACTATTTTGTAGTACATAATGATACAAATGATGTATGGCAATGAGCCGCAGATAATGTGTTGAAATACTGTATGCTGTGCACATAGTAGAATCTGTTCAATTTTAAATGTCACTTGAATATCAGCATTCGAGGCAAATCATTTAAACAAAATCACATTATAAGTCCCAGCTTGAACCTGGCTTATAAACATAATTCATTCTAAGATACTTTGTTATTCCTGAAATTGGGACCCTTCACTATTCCTATATCCTAAACAAACCTCTTGCAAATCCAGGGAGCTTGGGACAAACAGCAGATAAAAGAACACCCCCTTACTCTTTTTTGTCCTCAGGAAGCATTCCATAAGCCCACAAACGCATGTATATCCACAAACCACAAAAACCTCCCAAATACAGAAGCACTTGCCTCCACGCACCCTACAATGAACACTTGGAACAAAATTTTAAAAAAAACAGTACCCTGGAATAAATGGAGACAACTATGTAAGCCTTGTACACCATTGGATCTACAGGGTCTCCTATACCATTGGCAACTAGATGATGTCCCTTCCAACTCAGTTATCCTATAATACACTCCTGATGGGATTACAAGATTGCTAGCTCAGGATCTCTTCTGAATCTGCTTGACTCACAGAAATGCTCTTGTTCTACCCAAAAGTTCTAGTTTCTCCCAGCTCTCAATTTCTTTTAACATATTTTATTGAGTTATAAAGTATTATAAAATACAAAATACAAAGCAAATAGAAAAGCAGTGCTAGGTGGGGAGGGGAAAAAGAAGTGAGGAAAGAAAAAGAAAAAAAGCAGCATTGACTTCTGATTCTCTCTGTTACAGTAAAAGAAGGCATTAACATCAAATCACAACTTTTTGCTTTTTCATAATATGAACAAGCCATTTCTATAAAGTTCAGTCTAATTGTTAAAACCCAAAGTCAAGAGTTTCATTCTTTTCCATATCAAGCACGAAATTCAGAGGCAATCCCCACCAACTCTCAATTTCGAAAGAGGTCTCATAAAAGATTACTGAGGAACGTTTTAGTGACCATACTCTTTTAGTGGCAATGGCCCCAGCAGCTCATGGCCTTGGGGTGAGTGAAGTCACATACAGACCAGAGTTTGAAGCTGGCCGGCCCCCGAATGTTGAATCTTGAGAGGAGAAAGGTCCTAAGCATCAAAGCAATTGTAACCACTCCGTCCTCTCTCAGGTCCTGGAGAAGAGCTGGCTTTGCCCCTGACATTCATACACCATAGGCTGTCAAGGAGACACTGAAGGGTCACCTTGCAAGGGCCACTTGACCCTTCAAGACAGTCAGTGAGGAGCCAGACTGCAGTTCCCTCTTCCAGGTGTTTCCTGGGGATCCCAGAATCCCCAGAGAGCACAGAGAGCTGGGCTTCGCTAGAGAGCCACTGGAACTGCTTTGTCTCCAGAAGTTGTGACCGTTCCATCACGGGAAGCTTTTGAGAAGAGACTGGACAGCCACTTGCCTGGAGTGGTATGGGGTCTCCTGCCTTAAGCAGGGGGCTGGACTAGAAGACCTCCAAGGTCCCTTCCAACTCTGTTATTCTGTTATTACTTCAGATGATTTCTATACTTATTGATTACTTATGATCACTTCATGTGATCTTGATACTAACGTCCTGTTAATCTGGAATGGTAGAGGGCCTCCTCCTAAGCAGGGGGGTTGGACTAGAAGACCACCAAGGTCCCTTCCACCTCTGTTGTTCTGGAATGGTAAGAGGGCCTCCTGCTTTAATCAGGTCCCTTCCAGCTCTATTCTGACTGGAAAACGCCACCCACAGACCCCCACCCTGCTTCTCTCCCTCTGCCCTGTTCCACCAGGCAACCCCACACCCAGAGGCTCCCCGCCCAGGACGTCTAGCCCCCCCTCCTCCTTTCCCCCCACCCCGTGCCCCCCCTGTCCCTGCTCACCTTTGTAGAGGTTGGTGACGGCGGTGGCCGCGTTCTGGAAGGGCACCCAAAGGGAGAGGCCGGGCTGCTGGCACACGCGGTCTGCGCGTGGAGGGAGAGCAAAGGGGAGAAGTGAGCCTCGCCGTGACCGCCTAACCTCCCCTCCCCAACCTCCTCTTTTGCTCCTTCTTCTTCAAGGCCCGGCCATGTTGGGCTTCGCCATTTTGTTCACCCGCCGCCGCCGCCGGGACGGAAGCGCAGGAAATGGGGGGAGGGGGCAGGGAGAGAAGTGGCTCAAGGAGGACGGAAGCCGCCTGGAAGAGTCCAAGTCCGCCCGGGGGGGGAGGAAAAAGTGAGCGGGACGGAATCGTCTATTTACACGCCCCCATGGGTGGGGGGTTTAGAAAAAAGGAGGACGCCCCTTCTTTAAAAAAGGGAAACTACGTCTGCTCGATTGGCGGCGGCAGCGCCCCCCCCCCCCGTTAAGGCCCTTCCCAACCGCGTATTCGACCCCCCCTCCAACCATTTTGTTGATGGGAGGGGCCAAGGGCCCGGGCGAGCCCACCCTCCCTCAGGGACGGGGGACGGATGGGCGAATCCATTATGTCCCCCCTAACCCCGGGGAGCCGCTCCTTTCACCGGCTGAGAGGAAAAGAAAGAGAAGCGGCGGCGGTGGCGGTGATGAGGCCTCCCGCCATCTTGAGGGCGCCCGGTGGGGCAACCGGGCCGGGCCTCGGACGACCACTCCCAAGATTCCCACCCGGGAGAAGACGGGGAGGGGGGGGGAAAGACAGTCCCTCCCGTGGGGGGGGTATTCCCGCCCGTGTCGACACGTGTCAGGGCATCCACACGTGCGGCGGGGGGNAGAAGTGAGACGTGTGTCCTAGTGCTACCGGAGACTGACAGCTCCGCTGCGTTCCTTGCCCTTTCGTCCTTGTAAAAAAACCTCATGACAACTTGCGAGGTTTTTTTTACAAGGGGCTTCACTGGATGAAAGGGAGAGGAACGCAGTGGGGCTGAACAGGTAAGAGGCTAAAGGGGTGGCAGGGAAGGGAACCAGTTAGGATGCCTTTACCATTGGGGTGGGGTGGGCGGTGTTGGGCCGCGAGGCATGCCTCTTACCTCTCCAGGTCTTCCGCGGTCCTCGCCATTGTGTCCAGGGAAGCCCCTGGTAAAGAAAAAAGAAGAAACCCTTCTCGCAACTTCAAGAAGTTTGATAGAACTCCCGAGAACAGTTTTTTTACCAGCGGCTTCCCTAGACACAATGGCGAGGAACACGACGGAACTGGAAAGATAAAAGGCGCGTCTCGCTTCTTGCCTGCCCCAGAAAATAACCCCAAGGCCATAATTTGGGGGGGGGGGTCAAAAAAAATAAGACCCTGTCTTATTTTTGGGGAAACACGGTATATACATACATACAGCCTTTTATATATATAAGAACTGCAAGTCTGTTTGCGTTTCACTTCTTTCTCTCTCCCTCTGAATCTGGGAGAAGCCAGACTGAGCTTCCTTAATGCGATCGCCTTTCCCGGGCCTCAAGCAATGTGTTGGCCCTCGTTTCCATAGCAGCATCTGAAAACTCCCTTCAAGGCCATCTCCTGGGCTTTCTACACCACCCAAGCTTCCTCCTCCAAAACACTCCGGATAATCAACTGCTACTCATTCTGACTTAACCGTGTTCCCTTCACTTTAACCTATTAATGCTGGTAAGAAACATCTGTTTTTTTCAGAGCATTTGAGGTCACCAGAGGAAGGAACAACCCTGAGTCATCCCTGCAAGAGGCCCACATCTGCAAGGAGTTGCCAGGCCTGGAAAGGAGAACCCATCAGCCCCACCTCAGTCGCTAACCTACCGAGAACCGGTTTAATGTTTTACAGTCTGTATCACTGGCCATAATCTAAAAAAAATAAAACAGAAGCTCTGAAACGGTCTTAAGAGAGGAAAGTGCTTCTTTCCAATGTTTTTTTTAAAGGTAGGGGAGGAGGAGTGGGAAGAGGAAGGCAGAAACCATGATTACCATGAAGAGCTATGGCTTCCCGGAAGGGCTGCAAGTCCGTCTCGACCGAAGAACTAGTTTCCGTGGATGTCGCTCGGTTAGGGGATACTACAGTCAGTCTTGGGGGAGCTCTAGAGTTTCGTGGAGGAGGAGCTTTTCCACACAGGAAGCTGATTAAGTCTTCTCTGCGAATAGTTCTTCTGCGCTTTTTAACCCAAGCCAAGACATCCTTATTACGACGCTGGTAGCCAATATGGATTCCTACGTCAAAACTCCGCTGATGGGCATCCACACTTTCTGGAAGAAAAGAAATATGTGTTAGGTGTTGGCTCAACTACAGGCGGCAGCAGCTTCAGATATAAGTGGCCTTCTAGAACAGGAGTCTCTAACCGTGGCAACTTTTTAAGACCTGTGGACTTCAACTCCCAGAATTCTTCAACCAGCTTCGCTGAGGAATTCTGGGAGTTGAAGTCCACAAGTCTTTATACCAATAGCACTTAGACTTATATACCACTTTACATCCCTCTCTAAGCAGTTTACAGAGTCAGCCTCTTGGCCCCAACAATCTGGGTCCTCATTTTACTCACCTCTGAAGGGTGGAAGGCTGAATCAACCTTGAGCCTGGTGAGATTTAAACTGCCAAATTGCAGTTATCCGGCAGTCAGCAGAGGTACTTAAAGTTGCCAAAGTTAGAGACCCTTGTTCTAGAAGCAAAGCCAAAGAGAACTGGCACCCCTGAAATGCTTTTTGAGCTTCCCCTGTGGATAGGATGAATGAATGGAAGATCAATCCAATATTAAAAACTGATTAACAAATTGCAGTTATTTCCATACCGTTTTCCACACTGGAGGAAAAAAATTACACAAATCCGACCCAGCCAGCTTGTTAGTAAGTTCAACAATCATAAATAGAAACACAATAAATACTTAGCCCTACCTAAACTTTAGACTCTACCTGGAGCCATCTGCTAATATCGGATACCAGTTGATATTGCTTCCAGGTGGTTCTCGATTTATGATCCCAACTGAGCCCAACATTTATGTTGTTAAGCAAGATGTTTGTTAAGTGAATTTTGTCCCATTTTGCGACATTTCTTGTGTCAGTTGTTAAGTGAATCACTGCAGTTAAGTTAGTCATATGGTTGTTAAGTGAATCTGATTTCTCCATTGACTTTCCTTGTCAGGTCGTCGCAAAAGGTGATTTTATTTGGGCAAAAACTCAGAATATACACTTTCAATCCTGATAACAGTTTGAACTTCCATACCTTAGCAGCATGCCTATTTGCTTTTCTGCAAATGACACATCTTCTGCATTTGTTTTTATTTTATGCCATGTAACAAAAATCAATGTTGACCACTTTGAAATTTTTTGGAAAATCAAACATAATCTTCTCTCTGTCAGCCCAAGTCACCTCATAAAAATAGGAGGAGAAAGGACTATTGTGTGCAAAGGAGCATTGTGTGTATTTGCCACTTTGAGTTATTAAAAAATAATAAAGGTGGGATATAAATAAATAAATGGGCGTCATGGTGGCCCAGTGGTTAAAGATGCTGGGCTTTTCGGCTGGAAAGCTGGCAGTCCAGGTTTGAGACCCAAGCACCAAACTACATCCTCGCTCCAGCTGCTGCCAGCCTAGCATTTGGAAAGCATGCACATTCAAGTAGATAAATAAGTACCACCTGCGTGGAAAGGTAACAGGGCTCCGTAAGGTCATGCTGGCCATAGGACTGGGAAATGTTTTCTGACAGCGCTGGCTCAATGGCCTTGAAANCTGCCGCCGCCCACACTGAGCCCGAGACGCCGCCCCGAGCGCCCCAAAAGGCCTCACCCGAACATGCTAGGGGGAGGGGACAGAAAACGACGACCCCACCCGCGGCAGAGCCCGCCTCCTTCAGTTCGCCGTCGCCGCTGCCAAGCGACCCTTCGGCGCCTGCCGCGCGCTCATTGGGCGGCTGACGTGCCCATCAATGTCATAAAGGAGGAGGAGGCGAAGACGAGGTCATCAAGGTTGGTTACGCCGGCAAAATGGAAAGGAGGAAGACGGGGAGGGAAACGAGGGGGGGGAGGAGGGGGATCCGTCCGCGCAGGCGCAGCCGAGGAGGGGGGGTGAAAGGTATGCGCGCGCACATCAGCCTGGCTGCGCCTCCGGGCGCGCGCCAGTTTCTCCTGCGCGTTCTTGGTGCTGGGTTGGCCGCCGGGCGTGGCTCAAGCTTCACCCTTGTGGCTTGGAACCGAACACTGTTTGCAACTGCAGGACAGCCCGAATGCACAGTTTTGGTTCTTTGTAGCATCATGCATGGGCTCCTGTACGTTCCTCTAGGGAGCCATAGTTTAACCATGATGCCGAGATGAAAACCATGCAGTGGGCACGGCAATGCTGAGCTGCAGAAGCGAAACATCTGGATTTTGGTTCAGCAGACAACAAATGTCATTGTAAAAAATCGGTAGAGATTCTCCGTCATCCAGGTCCTGGTTGTCTCCAAAGGTGCCTTTTTTTTCAGGAGGCAACTGGACTTTTTTGTTTTTTTTCTTTTGAAGACGTTTCGCTTCTCATTCAAGAAGCTTCTTCGGCTCTGACTGGATGGTGGGGAAGAGAAGGACCAGCCAGCCAGAGCTGAAGAAGCTTCTTGGATGAGAAGCTTCTGGATTCCTGTCCAAGATTAGAAAGAAAAAAAATACATGGCAGCCATAAGCACAATTATATTTTAGCACTCTATCTACAGTTACATCGTGATTCTTTTTTTTCCTATAATCTACCCTATCTAACGTCTTCAAAAGAAAAGAAAAAAAACAGAAAGTCCAGTTGCCTCCTGAAAAAGCACCTGCCATCCAAGAAAGAAAACGCCCAACTCCCTTTAATTAGAGAAAAGATACTTTTCCTGGACATGAAAACAGCGAAAGTGAAGCAAGATTGAAGCAAAAAAGAGCGATTTACCCAAATCCCTCCCCTCAGTTACCCCAACCCAATGTCCAATCTCCAGCTCCCAAAGGTGTCATCTGGGGCGCATCTTCAAGTGGCCTCATTCAGTTGGTATGCAGAGACAATTGGCCTTGACCAAGTCCAAACACGAGCCATCAGCATGCGCAAAAGATGGTGAAAACAAACCTCCCTTCTTGAGATATCTCCACCAGCACCTTTCCCCTCCCCCCAAATGCCATGAACCCCCACCCTCCCCGTTACTATGGCAGCTGATAGCAAGCATGCGAAGTAGAGGCTGACTGGCACCTTTGGGACAACCAGGACCCGGATATCGGAGAATCCCTATAGACTTTGAGCTACACAATTTGGGATGGACACCCTTGGAATGGTGCGGGGGTAGGAACGGATTTCCAGAGGGAAAAATTGCAGACGACAAGAACCAGGAGCATCATTCAGGTGACCCTGAGGACACAAACAAACCTCCAAGTGCTTCAAGGATCCTCTAAAAGAATGTAAATAACCAGTTCTGTCTGCAAGGAGTATAAATCCTTCCCTTCCCCACCATCCAGTCAGAGCTGAAGAAGCTTCTTAGATGAGAAGTAAAACGTCTCCCTAAGAAAAAACAAGAAAGTCCAGTTGCCTCCTGAAAAAAAGCACCGTTGAAAATGTCATTGCCATACCGCATTTCTGACTCAGCTGTGGGGCACTTTAAGAAGAGGGAGGGTAAAGCAAGGATTGCATGTGCAAGTGGTCCTCGACGTATGACCACAATGCAGCCCAAAATTTATGTTGCTAAGTGAAACGTTTGTGAAGTGAGTTTGCCCCATTTTATGACCATCCTTCCCACAATTGTTCAGTGAATCACTGCAGTTGTTAAATCAGTCAAAGAGACTACCGTATTTTTCAGAGTATAAGACACATCTTTGTCCCTCAAAAAAGAGGCTGAAAATCTGGGTGCGTCTTATGAATGTAGCATTTTTGGCCTCCCGAAACTCCGCCCCTTCACCAAAATGGCCTTGCATAGCCTTTAGGAGGCTTCCAGAGAGCTGGGGGCTGGGGAGGGCAGAAATGAGTGAAAAACAGGCCGGTTTTTACTCAATTTCACCGCAGCCCCCAGAAGCACTCTATAAGTTTAAAGGCTATGTACGCCCTTTTTTTGACAATTTTTTTTAATGAAAAATGGGCCGTTTTTTGCTCGTTTTTGGCTCCCCACCCCTCCAGAAGCACTCTACAAGCCGCCTAAAGACAATTCATGCCCTTTAAAAAGGGGGGGGGGTCATTTTAATGAAAAACGGGCCATTTTGGGGAGGTTTGCAGAGTGCAAAAAAAATTTTTTTTAATTTGCCTCTTCAAAACCTTGGTGTGACTTATACTCTGAAAAATATGGTAATTTAAAATCATTTGTCACAGTTAACAACCATTGCAGCATCTCCATGATCACATGAGTTACATTCGGATGCTTGACAACTGACTCACAACTGACTCACATTTGTGACGGTTGCAGATGGGATCCCCCTTTATAACCTTCTGACAAGCAAAGTCAAGGAGGAAATCAGATTCACTTAACAACGCTGTTACTAATTTAACAACTGCAGTAATTCACTTAAATGTGGCAAGGAAAGTTGCAAAATGGGGTAAAACTCATTTAAATAGCAACAGAAATTTTGAGCTCAAAAGTGATAATTTGAGGACTACATGTATTTTGTTTTATCAGCAAGAATAAAATACAAAACAACAGAAAAATGTACACAACAAAAAGGAAAAAAAGAATGTTTCTAAAAAAGAGAGGGAAATGACCCAAATATCAACTAAATCTAACATTAAACACAGCATTGACCCTGGTTGGATGCTGAAATTTTTTTTTTTAAAGATTCGGTTTCCCTTACATAATGGGTGTACAAATTGTTATAAATTGTCCCATCCTCATTTAATAAAAATTACTATATTAAATAAACAAGTATTGCAAATGGGAAAGTATCTACTAATTAAATCAACTCAACATCTAATCATAATATATATGTGAAAAATGTGGGGGGTGGGGGGTGAGCAATCAACGGGCTTACCCAAACACTACACTAAACTTCAAATCTCTCTGTTAACCATCTGTTATTGCATTTAACATGTAAAAAGCCCACAAATGTTATTTTTCCATTTAAGATTAAAGAATCTAAAAGAATACAGTGAATTTTGTTAACATAAATAGTGATTGTTTATCAAGTTAAGTAAGTGCAAACAGAAATATATATTATTTCCACAGCAAGGACAATAAAGCAGAAATGATTAAATTGATTGCTTTATTCAAAGAGGAGAATACATTTAATTATGTTTTTTATTTGGATAGCACTTCTGGATATTGTGCTTGTGATGAAAAAAATGAAACTTTGAATTTGGTTTTGCCGATTAGATAGATTTGT